ATGGTCTTCAGGAAAATCCTTATAACTTCATTATTATCAGTGATACAGAGTTTAGAGTAATTTCAAATTAAAGCCAGTACCTGCGCGCAAGTTTTGTGGGAACAGAATTTTGAAATTCATTTTCATTCATTTTTATGTTCATTTTAGTGCATACGGTGTCAAGATAAGCCAAAGAATGTCACTTCATGTCACTAAATCTCGCCTTTCTCAACACAACAATCAACTGTAAAAAAGTTGGTCGAACAAAAAGTTTACTCTCATTTAGATCTTTAAAGCAAAAAAAGCTATTAGTTATATCTTGAACCGGGTGGAAGTTATCTTAATTTTTCTGATTGAAAATCATGTTCTGAGAAAAAACAGTAAATAATTTTAGACATGGAGTTTTTCATTTAAATCCACAAAAAAAGAACATATTAAAATGGCATATTCAAAATCTATTTAAATGGAATTTTTAAAAGCACGTAACAGATGACGTGAGTTAGCACCATCTGTTTCGCTTAAATTATATAAGAATGTTTATTTCATGCTTATGCAAGTAAAACTCTTTCGAAAAGTCATATATATTCTGAGAAAAAACTTCGCTCCATTTTTCTATGATGAAAAGCCAACTTCAATTTTATTTTCGAAACAAAAAAATGGATTTTCAAAGGGAAGAGGCTCCCAGTAGTGCACAATCTACCCGTGTGCGCGAACGACCGTTCAGGGACATTTTTTGAGAAATAATGGGTACTCCATGGTACATGTCGCTCTTTTATCTTCTATCTTTGAGAGATTTAAGACTTGTCCAAATTTTAGTTCTGAACTCGCTGGATAGAGAATTCAATTCTCTACAAAACTACCGAGTTTGTTTTTCGAGGAGATTTTTCATGTAGGCATAAGCCTGATGAAATCAAAATCTATTGAATGGTCAAACTGCCAATTTCTATTTTTCTACAGATAAAAAATAATGATTTGTGTGAGCGTGTGTTCATTACGACCGATGCTAAAAGCTAAGTATTGTATATCAAAAGATAGAGAATTTTTTGCTCTACATGCTCATGAACTTAGGATGGTTCTGAGTGTTTTATTCAAAAGAAGAAAAAAGTTGCGAACTAACATTTGAAGATATTTTGGATGTATTATGAAAAATTATTTTATATCACAAGTCGAATTCGTCCTATAAAAAAGGTTGATTGCCGTATCACTGGATGCACAATTAAGTTTTGAACAAAATGGCACATGTGTTCAATTAAATAGTTGAAACGCGTAGGCTATTTTGAATCAATTGAAATCAATATCTCAGATTTGTCCGGAACCAGATTTTTTTGGTATTTCAACATTTTCTATTTTGAATTTTTTTTTTCTCTCAAATATTTGTTCTAACACTTTGAAAGTCATACCGAAATATGTAAGATTTTGTGTACACTATTGTAGCATATTTTAAATTTCAGCAGATCCGTTTCTAAAAATTCCCTATCATTTTTTTCGCTTTTTTAAAAAATTTTCACACTTGTACAATGGAATACTACATGTTAAGACAGTTTTACAGGAAGTTAAATTTTCTATCTACTGATATAAAAACTAAAATTTAAAATAATTGTTAAATGCTTCAGAAGATAGATAATAAAACTGGGTCATTTATTATGGAGTATCCGTTTATTTTTCTCTTTCAAGGAAAAATTTTTCATCTTAGCGGCAGATTCTGCACTTCTGAAGTCTTCCTTAACATGAAGGAGAATAGAAAAAAATTTATTTTGTACAAAAATGCCAGTGCGGAAAAGTCAGGTAATGTTGATCATCAATGAAATAATTGATGAATGTACAGGAATATTTCAAACTGAAAGCATTCAAATATTGATATTCATATGAAAAATTCAATCAGTCATCTTCCTATTCCGTGTTCTGCAATTATTTCAATCAAATCAACTGCATATTCGATATCACCATATAATTTCATCATTATTTGTAATCGTTTCATATTTTTCTTTTGAATATTCATTTCTTTTTTATTTAACATAAATTCAATAATCATGTTGATCAGCAAAAATCGGTGTGCAAAGAATTGATGTATTTTACCAAATACTTTCATAAACACTATTAATACCTCTGTATGAAATGAATAAATCTACCTTTGAATGAGCTAAAAAGTCCATTTTACAATACGTATATTCGATGATAATTTATTCGATAATAAATCACGTTCTTTTAACACTCATACAAAACGATATTCATCGAATATTTTAATGGCATTATATATTTTTTGTATTTGTTCATTTGATATTGAAACACAAGTACCAAAATTAATATAGATTATTGATCGATTATCGAATTCGATCCATTGTCAATCTTCATCAAATAATTGTGTTAGATAGTAATTCAAAGGAAGTTTCATTGGCAACACAATGATTCAGTTAATTGAACATATTCAAATTCAAACGCATTATTAACAAAAATCATCTATGAATGATATCACGATGATAGATAATATATATTATTTAAATGTACGTATGAATAAATTTGCAACAATTGAATGAATACTCTGCGGTGGATCAAGACAATAGGTTGGATTATAATCTGATGATGAAATATATTTCCAACCGAGATAAGATATTATATTGGTATTATTAATTATATAACTAGTAATATTAAAATAATCAGCTATATCAGCACCAGCATATATTAATAGATCAATAATAGCTTTGACTGTTTCTTATTCATGAAATATATCAGATCGAATTACATTCAACATTTGTCCATACATTTTTTTAAAATCATTTTCAATGAAAATTTGAAGAAGTTTCAATGCCTCTGAATGTGAATGAGCTTCTGAAGCAAGTATTTTATACGATAAGACAAGATCAGTTTTATTTTGACATAGACCAAGATCGAGAAATTTAATTGTTGTATTCGAACAACTAATTATATAAATATTATGGTCATTATTATGATGTTGATATAATTCAATTGCTTGATGTAAAAATAGATTGACATGATTGATGTATGAAATTGAAATAAATAAGGCTGGTTTTTTTCGACTTTTTCTCTGCGAAAAAGAACAGTCCATTGTCAATATTAATAATAAAACAAAAATAAGAATAATTTATTTCAACATTATTCTAGACAGAGAGAAAAAAATGTTACATCATTTAATAGTAGAGTTCAGAATTTGGTGGTAATAGATTCAGTGTTTTTGTTTGGACTTCTCGTGGAGGGATCGGCCTATTGGTAAGAGGATCTAGCTTCTTCACTCTATGACTTCACTATTGGCTTCATATCAGTTTTTGAGGATATGATTCGACATAGTCAAATGAGGGCGTAGATGTAGATTCATCTTATCTTAACCCACACATCCAGAACCGTATCCACTGGCGTCTCCGAAAGAACATTCTAAATGTTCAAGATTAGAAAATATTTCATAAAATTGTTTTCCTTGATAAGAACTATTAATTATTTTGTCATATAAAAAGATTATAAAGATACCCATCTTTCAATCCTTTTGTTAAAGTATTTATAGTATTCATTATCGTTCAATAGTGATTTTAAATAGTTTGATTCAATACGTATTGATCATAATTGCAGTGCACTTATTAGTCTATCAAAAAATATTATTGAACTTTCCATTTCACAGTCTCACATCATACCTAAATGCTTTAGATTTGATAGATTAAGGGTATATTAAATGAATGTATTGATTATTAGAATATGAGTAAATTTGATTTTTTATTTCTAGATTTAACAACAATTTTAAACAAAATTGATTAAATAAAGACTTACGAACATATTCAAATTAATTTGTCAAAATGATAATTCAATCAATCAAATGAATAAAAAATAACAAATACATTAAGATATTTCAAACATTTAATTATTATTTCGTTTAGTAATAATTCAAATTTCATGACATATTGAAATTTATTCATCATAGAAGAAATGAAAATACTTTTCTATATGAAAGAAATAGTCTTTTACTTAGTCATATGTTTTAACGCTGTTGTACTTACACAAGATATACTTTATTGTGTAATATCAACTAATAATGGTTCGTTATCTATTAGGTTTTCCTTTTTATCTTCATTATCAAACTATACATCGATGAAAAGAATTGCTTAGAAGTTTGTAAGATTCTGCTGTCAGATTAACAACGAATAAGTGAAACTAGTTGATATTATTAGTGCACTCGTAGATTCTACGCCACAACATAAAATGAAGTGAGAGTGTGGCTGTGACCATAAACATCTACTCACACCCACAAGACGATTTTTATCTATACCTTTTTTTTCGGGCCTCACAAGACTTTTTAACCTCCTTTCGCATAGATAGTCCGAGAAAAGATCTGGAAAAGCGTTCTTTAGGGTCAAATTTTATAACTCTATCAGAATCCAGATGAATACGGATCATTAGAAACACTCAGCTATTTATAACAATAAAATACGACTACGATAACAGTAAGAGAAGCATGCGAACTCCTTTTTTTTCGGTGCTTTTAGTACATTGAACATTTTGAACTCAAATGAGACTGTAATGGTTAAAAGCAATTTTTGACGCTCTATGCAAATATACCATTGAATTGATAAATAAAGGCCAACAAGAAATTCAAAACTGCGAAATACGACTAAACATACTCTATTTGAGAGTGAGCAAGTGAATGTGCATGTGAGTCTTTTCTTCATCCACATCGAAATTATTTCTCGAAGTAACAACATTTTTTTTTTCTGCAGAACAATCAATCATGCCCTACTACTCTCTTTTTCATCTTTCGAATAATATTTTTCTGAAAGTATTACACATTATTCCATTTGTATGTTGCTGTAAAAAGAAATACATGTAATGGCTTTTAATGCAAAATAGGATGCAACGTTCTATTACTTTAAAAAACAAAATCATCAAGTGTTCTGTTTCAACATATTGATTGCACATGATAGATGCTTCTCGAAACATTTGTAATCATGGAAAGTTTGTTTGTGAATAGGCATCATATGTATTTATTACAAAGTAAAAATGCATTCTCTGTCTTGTAAAACATGAACCATTATTTTCAAACGATCATTTTTGCTCTCATCATATTGCTAATATCTGTTCAATCGTTTATTCTCATACCTCCACAAGATATTAAAGTAACAAATAACATCCGATGTTATTCGAGCAAAAGTCCCATATTACGTAACGATTATCAATTGTGTGCTTTTCGCGTCTATGATGGTGGTTATACATTAAGTCAACTCATAGAATACACAATACGTGATGGTATTTGGTATACTAATACATTTCGACAATTAATCAAACGTTGCCACGGATTTTCAACAATATCTGATACTGGTGTCGGCATATGTCCTCCGTTACCCTACGAAACTTTTAAGAACATGACAATCTGTATTTGTGGAGGAGATCTTTGCAATATTGATTTGGGTACTTGTATGATTTGGAATCGCAATTTTTCTTTGTTGCAACCACTGCCAGCTGTTCTGACAGATCTGTCGAATCCTGTGCCATGTTCTGGAATAGGAGATCTATTGCCGTTACCAAAGTTGTGTACGGAACATCCGTTGATTAACACTTCAAGTTGCGTAAATTACATTAGAAGTAACAGTGTATTTTGCAGTGTTAGCATGATAGAAGACGTGATCACTCAAGAGGCACTGAGTACCGAAAATTATGAACGAGACTTGATCGAACAATACCACTTATCACGTATAAGCGGTAATAGTCGTAACATTAATTTCACCGAAACTTTTGTAGTCTTTACACGCATCACTCCTTTTTCCACGGATACGATCTGTGTTTGCAACACATTCTCGTATTGTAATACAAATAGCAGAACATGTAAATCAATGACGCCCGAAAGTACAACCACAGTAACCATCACATCCACATCTACATCCACGTCCACATCCATTTCCACATCCACAACGCTGTCAACATCATCAGCGCACAATAACTCGACAGCCAAAACTATTGTAGTCTCGACCACAACACTGTCAACATCATTAGCGCACAAGAACTCGGCAGCCAAAATCACTATAATCTCGACCACTACGGATGATACTAATACGGCTTCTTCGGTAAGCCTATCATCTTTGAAAGCTGCAGCAACAACATCCAAAGAAATCTCTGTTACCCAAGTTGCCAACACACAAAGTAGGCTATTGTTATTAGCATTTTCAGATTATTTAACTATTGTTTGTATTTGATCTAGGCCAACAAACAGCACGAGACAAAATAGATTTCGGATTTGCGATTACGATTGGTATCATTTGTGGTATCATTTTCTTGGCATTGATCATCACCATCATTGGAATTGTCAGATTTCAAATGTGCCGTTCTGATGGTCGTGGTAGTTACCAACTCGTGCCTTCTGAAGAATAAATTATTGCATTTTGAAACAGAACTTATTCGAACCTCGAAAAAGAAATGTTTGTTTGTTTGTTTTTTTGTTTTCTTACAAGATCTTCATGGGACTAATTTCCACCAATAACGTCTACTTCACAATAACTTTTATTTCTCGTATAAAAATTTTTAATACGTTCCTTTTTTTTTTGAATTCATATGACATATTATTTAGATTCGACAAAATGCAAGAAGTGCCTATTCGAAATGGTATGGAGAAAACAAGATCCATACTCTAGTTTTGAAAGTTTTTTAAGTAGAAATCTTGCACGATTTATGCCTTAGATACAATGTCATTAGTATTGCCATGACGTCAAGGCATTGAAGTGATATCAGTTGCCAAATAAATTTTTTCGAGTATCGTGATGGCTTTTTTTGAGATTAATAAGAATGTTGTTCTCACACAACATAAATCAACTTGATCAATAATATTTTGCTTTCTGTATATACTTTTCAAAGTTTGCTATTTCAAACAGAAAGTTAAATTGTAATTCAATTATTACAACTATTATGTTCTTTGTCATGATCATCTTCGAAAGGTCTATTATTCAGGTTATCTCGCAATATAGAATTGTTATTATATTCTTCTTCTCTTGAATGTTTTCGGTTTTTTTCATCGATGCTGTTGATCTGCTAGTATTTTTTTATGCTCTTTTCAATTGTTCAATTGATGAAGAAAAGAATTCTATTAACATAACCTTGATAAACATTCACATATAAATAATAATTGATTTATTTTATTAAAATGTACCTTCAATCATTATTTTATTTTTAACTTAAAGACAGTCAATATCCGATAGTAATGCTTTTCTTCTCAAACGCGAAAAATGAAATCGTAATATTCATTCTGAAAGCATAATGGGAACGTGGGAATCGAGAAAGTTCTGGCGACAGAACACTACCATACCCACAGCCTTTGATTTTTGTGGTCTTCTAGGGACAAGTGATAATTTTTTGGATGTTGAATATCTCGAGAATAACACATTCTTCTCCTCTGAAAATTTTAGAGAATTCTAATAACAATAGAATCTACCTTCAGGCAAATTTCATATTTTCGAAAATACTTATCTATGGGTTGAAAATATGATAAAATGGTCGTAACATTCGACTAATAGGTCATGGGCACTGATTTTTTTTGGATTTTCCTAGTCCCACTGAGGTCTACCTTAACCGTGAGAAAATTGAGACAGGTTTCTTGTGTGAAATGAAAGAACAAGTATAGATGTGAAGTAGAAAATTGAACATATTGAAAGTGAAAACAATCCATGCGCTTAATGAAAAAAGGGACATTTTCGAATGATATTTTTTCTATTGTTAGAAAAAAAAATTAATGTACATAGAGAAACTGTATTCAACTAAAAACTTTGCTTTTTAAACAACAATCAATGTCTGTGAGAGGAAGCTACAGACTTGGATTGAAACGTGTGCTCACTACTTAACCGCGAATTTCTTCCTAAAATGCCAACTCGACTCACTTTATGATTACTGATCTTGTTGATTGTCGCCGTCTTTTCTGGCTGATGAACAACTAGTAGTGTTAATTTTGACAATATTCTATTATATAGCAATACATGTATTAATTATGTTGCTTTATAGAGATGTCACTTAAAGAATCAAGTTGATACATAGATCATTGTATATAAGCAAAACAAGTACATTATAATCAAATACATTGTAACGATATTCGATGGACAAAATGTTTTACTCGGATGTTTGAAAAATTTCGAAAATTTTATCACATCAAACGAATCTATAGACATTTTTACTAGATTTTTCTGATTAAAAAGTAACCGTTATGTGTATTCTAATTTTATTATTAATATATAGAATAATGTAACTTCATAATTGAAATATCCATATATTCACCGTATCATATTGCCCTTCAAGGACTACTTTATAGAAGTCGGATGCCTATCTTTTTATATCAACGATAATCATGTTTTTGTCTATAGGTACTGTTTTGATTAAATGGTAAGTGTCTGTCATACCATCCTTAAACGAATTTGTAATTGATAGCCATACTTTTACATTTCGAGCCGGATCCAAAACTGTCCAACTAATTTGTAAACTAACATTATGTAAACTGACGTTCGGTTTTATTAATGATACTTTTTCTGTTAACGGTATTCAATCTAATTCTCTTTAAGTTTCAATTGAAATGCTAGGACCAATCAATTTTGCAATTGTTGGATATATATCAATTATAGCAGGTTGAAAATCATGAAAATAAGTATTCATTTCTTGACTATTTGTTATTATCCAAGTTGTTCGTTCTCTATCAGTCTGATCATCATGTTCTTTGCCTGTTATCGGTTCTCTGCCATGATCTGTCCTTATAATGATTAACCAATCTTCTTGATGATGTGTCATTCGATAATTGATAGCTTCTCAAATTTTCCCTATCTAATGATCAACATTATTGACTGCTTGGTTAAATTGTTCACTGTCTCCAAATAGATGTCCTACGTCATCCGTATATTGTAAATAAACCCAAGAAAGATCAGATCCATATATTTTGATACATGTGAAAAATATTCTTATAATGATAATTGAGAGATTCAACATCATTATCATACACATTGTGTTTATTAGCTTATGTACTAGTAAGTAGATTCATATAATCAGGTGCTAAAATAGGGGGTGGTTGTGTATAAGGGCCATTATCACCTCCAACATAAGCTCTTGTATAGCTTACAATTTTTTGAATTTTCTTCATGTTTGGAATTGAAAGATTTTCTATGACATCTGCAGGAATACCATCTACAATTATAAACAAAATTTTTCGATGCGTTGATCCTTGTTTATCTAATCTTATGTCAACTCTGGCAATAACGACTATTAATGGATTCAGAGTGCTAATGAATACAATGACGTTTGAAAAGTCTTGATTTTACTAGAAAGGAAGTGAAAAAAAAAGTGTTATCAACTCGAAAGGTTCTTACATAATAATAGTTGAAACTGAAAGGGTATAAATACCGAATTGCCATCATATTCGTATTCACTCTTGTTTATATTTTGTTCATACGACAATCGACATATGTTTTGGTTATTGTAATGATTTTGCTTCAAATCGATATATGACGCATCGTTCTCTTTAATTTTGTAGTTTTCTAGTCTCTTCTATTAGTAATGAGTTATTATTATTTTTGCTTGGTGTTTACGATCGAAGTTGCCACATATCGTTTTCTTATTGTTTATTACCCCTTTCATGTTCTCTTTTGTTGCTTAATAAACCGTTATCATAATAGAGAGACGTTGAATAGAAACATAGGAGTTAACACCGTTTCATTGAGATAAGAACAAAACAAATGAAGATAAAAGGTAAATAGCGATCTTTGCCTTTTTCTTATCATAAAAAAGAAAAACGAATGTATGTGACTAAGCTATTCAGGTATAACTGCAGTTGTACCGCTATTCATTTGAAAAAGTAAGCAGCTGATCGTAGAATAATTTCTAAAAATACTTTTATTAAATTTTTAGATACGAAAACTCTTACAATCATGCAAGACGTTAAAGAAGAAGTGGAAAAATGCCAGAAGAAATTACGACGAGCTTTATTAAATATTGAAGATTATCATCAACAGGCAAAAGAAACATTACAACAAATGGCTTATGATTACTATAGTAGTGGTTCTGATGATCAACTAACATTGATTGATAATCAAGAAGCATTTCGTCGAATAAAATTGCGTCCAAAAATACTTATTGATGTTTCATCACATTTATCTATAGATTCAACAAATTGTAAGGTACAACTTTTAAATTCTACAACAACAATTCCGTTTCCATGCATTATTGCTCCTACAGCTTTTCATCGTCTAGCCAATAGTGAACATGGAGAATTAGCAACTGTTCGAGCAGCTGTTGCTTGCTCAACAATTATGTGTGTTAGTACCGTTGCAACAACACGTATGGAATTGATTGCCGATGAGTATCGGCGACAAATTAAAGATAATTATCCTGATAGTCATTCACAACTATGGTATCAATTATATGTATTTACAAATCGACAATATTCACAAAATTTAATCAAACGAGCTGAAAAATGTGGTTATAAAGCTTTAGTTATTACAGTTGATACGTGTGAATTAGGTAACAGAGAATTGGATATTCATAATAATTTTTCATTACCTGATGGTATTCGAGCTGAAAATTTGATTGATGATAATAATATTTTAGCATTTGGCTATCCTAATGTACCATATGATTCATCATTATCATGGAAAGATCTTAATTGGATACGATCAATTACATCATTACCTATTATTCTCAAAGGTATAATCCATCCGGATGATGCTCGCGAAGCTGTTAAACATGGTGTACAAGGAATTATTGTATCGAATCATGGTGGAAGACAATTAGATACATGCCAAAGTACAATTGATGCTTTGCCAGATATTGTGAAGGCTGTTGCTGGTAGCAGTCATCAAATAGATATTTATGTTGATGGTGGTATACGACGAGGAACAGATATTTTGAAATCTATAGCATTGGGTGCAAAAGCAGTACTTATCGGACGACCAGTATTATGGGGTTTAGCAGTGGATGGAGAGCAAGGTGTGAGAAATGTATTGGAAATATTGAAAAGAGAATTTCGAGTGGCTATGATGTTATGTGGATGTCAAACTATTGACGATATTAGAAAAAATAATCTTTTAGTGATGAATAAAAATAATAATAGATCGAAATTATAAAATAATAAAATTACTATGACGACGACAATTCGAATAATTGAACATAATCATTACGTATTTATGTATTGAGTACAATATCAGTTTGATTGTTTATTTGATTAATGCTATAGGATTATAATAAAATTAGATATAAAGAATTATTTAGTTCACTTGCACAATAACTAAAAAAAAAGACTTCAGTGGATCTACTTCTATTATCGCGTAAAGCATAAAATCGAGAGTAGAGTTTTTCTCGACACTATTCCGAATATCTTTTATAAGACTTCAACTATGAACATGAAGCTACAAAATTGCCCGTGCGAATTATTTTTAATTGTATTTTTATATAGTCATATTTTGACAAAGTCACGGTTGATCAGTGTTCATGCGTCAAATTTAGAATAAAAACACTGTTTTTTTCCACGAATCTGAACAAAAAAAGGTTTTATAGACACTATATTGTTCGCCATTATTTTGCAGCATTCGGATCCATCATTTTATCGATAAATAAAGTTCCACATGCCTTTACTATATCATAGATAGGAGACTCTAATCTGCTATAATCCTGAGATGCAATGATGTTTCTGTTATCTAGGACGATTCTCACTCCGCCAACAGCTATAATCATAAAATTTTCAGGGAGTACTTGATTAGAGCAGACAACTTATTAGAGAAAACATCTAAAGATAAGTTCATAAATCAACCAAATTATAATCGTTTGATACGACATTTTTATTGCTGATTGAGTCAGCAGTGAGTTCTCTAATGAGGTCTTAAGTACTGTGAGACTTGTTGTTAATTCTGAAATATTCTCGACTGAATAAAAGATCTTTTTCTATAGTTAAAATACATCCCCCCCCCCCCAAATGATTTACATTCAGATATTTTTTATTTGATGACAATTTTTTTTCAATTGTGTGTAAACGATAGATGAAAATTATCTTGAAATACATTTTCAGCTAATCGACTCGAAATCAATATGAGAATTTTAGATTTTGTTGATAGTTTTCTCAAAATATTATTTATATTCACAACCATAATACAGTCTATGATGTCGATTTTAATATTCGAATAAACATAATGATTGTATTTATGTATTATTATAAAACAAATGATAAGAAATATTGTGGATAACCATGATTTTATTATTCATCAATTGATAACAAGAGGATATGGATGTGGGTGAGTTTGAATCAAAATGTACCAAACAATGTGAATTCTATTGGTCTTTACATTGTTTGAGACTCGTTGCGTAGGAAACTACTCAAAAACGACATATAACGGAAAAAAGACATTGACTTCAATTAGACAATAGTGGATTTATACGACATTCATATAATAGTGTATTAGAGACATTTGTATGTTTTTCGATAAACTCTTATAGCCAAAGGCTGATGATAGGCTCTTCTCTGAGTATTGTCATCTAAGATATGTGATCCAGATATGACATGTAAATATCGATCGGTAAAGAAAAAACGTTGAAAAGAATGCGATGTTTCCTTTCTTTTAATCTACCCTGCATTCGAGTTTTTTTATCCTAATTTTATTTATGGGCACCCCTGTACTACCTCAAAATAAATTCTAGAAAGTTTTGATAGGCAGTGTCACGTAAGTACGTTTGCTATTAATTGACATATTCTCCATTTGCTTCATTCCAAGAGATTTTATACTAATTTTTATAAATTATATTGCGAAAAATAATTATAAAACATGTGTAACATTCTTGTTACTATGGGACTCAAAGTGTTAAAGTATGTTGGCCATAAATTAGGCTCGACGCACTAGTATCATTTTGTAGAACTTTAAAAAGCCTATGGAATGATATTTAATTCAAAGTGGATCGTTGTCTTTCATAGCTCAATAGTGAGGGAGTTTTGTCATGGGTATATTTCATATTCTACGTTTAAGCGAACCATATCATCTAAGAGGAAAAGGGAAATAACAATTTTTTGTCATACTCTGATATACTATTGGATAGAGGAAAGAAAGAGCTTCTATTTGGTCTAATAGTTAAATTAAAGGAGCTGAAGAAGAGAGAGAGAAACGTTGCAGGTAAATACAACACTGCACGACACTGTAGGAGATCGATAATATCGAGTTTTGAGTCAGGTGAGCGCAACCGAAATTAAGTCTAACAGTCTAATTTGAGCGGCAACTGACATCTCACACTCAGATTGACTATTCAGGAAATAATAAACTCAGTTTCGAGAAGGATCCAATTTTATTACTTAGTGAACTCCTGCTTTTTATTTTTTTCTACGCTTCTGTCTCTATTTATAGGCAGAAAAGGTACGATAAGATAAGATATGCTTCATTTTATTCTCATATAAAATGTTCGAAACATTTCAAAATATAACAGAAGAACTTTATCAAAGAATTGTAAGAGTTTTTAATTTGAAATCAACCGATTGGTGCTTTAGATATTTACGAAATAATGTCTGGACGTAAAGAATGGCCTGAATTGGTTGGACAAACATTCCAAGTAGCATGTCGAAAAATTTCAGAATTTGATAGTAGTAAGTTTAATCATTCAATTTAAATCTATATTCACTAAAATCTATCTTTCGTTCCTATCATAGATTTAACTCCATACAATGCAAGGAATGGAATTGAAGATCGAATGTATGATCCAACCCGTGTTGTATGTGTCACAAATGATAATGATATTATAACTGCAGTTCCATGTTATAATAATCAATAGAACATATCAATGACGATACTAGCCTGATTAATATTTTGAACTCGGGTTTCTAATTACTTAGAAAAGATACACGTTTTTTCCTTTATATACTTGATTAGTTTATTTAAACGGCAATTTATTTTTATTTGTCTTCTCTGTTTATTTTTATTCAACTATTAATTAAAAGAAAGAATTGCTTTTATTAGTGTCTGAAGAAATGATGAAGCGTACTCTAGAGAAGTCAAAGCATATGTTTAACGTGAAAGCGTGATGTCATTGTGAGATCATTTTCCCATAAACTCAGATACATCGTATGAATGTTATGATTCGTGTCTTACTTGATTTGTTTAGTAATTTGTGAAATGGATGCGATCATGATTCATTGAGAAAACACACAAAGATCTGTACAACCGCTCAATTCTGACGTGAATGAATTCAGATGAAATTGACATATCTCGTGATTTACAAATCTTTGCTCGATTAGGTGAGAGTGTATGAAAGGGACATGATGAGGTAACAATATGGGTTAGTATGACAGACAGGTTGACTAGGTAATGATGATGATCAAGTAACTAGTGTTAGACTATCATCCTTAAAATCTAACATGAACGCTCAAACTATTTATATTTCGATCTTGCAAAGTAGACAGGTGTAGTTATGGATGTACGATGCGCATATTGCCTTCAAGCCACGAACACAAACACCCACATTCGAAAAAATGAACTTTTTCTATGAACATTGCATATCACGACCCTATAGAGAACAGATAATATTAAGTTTTAAGTCATCCATGCACAGTCAGAATGAGAGCGAATCAATTAGTTCGAACTGAAATTCACTACTCCGTCCTGTAATTCATGATGATGAAAAAAAAGAAAAACAAACAAATAAAAGGGTCTGACTGTGGATGTGAATGTCGACCACTCTACCATCTGCACCCACAAATAGGTTTTTCCAGTATAATATATTAAGTGCAAACATATTCGAAATAATCAGAGCGTATCTATCAAATATGAAAATTATTTTAACCTCTTTGACAATATACAATAAACTTATGATAGTCAACGTTTGTGAGTTTCACACTTTCATTCCTCATCAAGGCGCACTAACAAGTTTTTTCTAATGATTTCACGAAAATTTTCATATGATTGTATGTTAATCGGACAAATAAATCAACACCATCAAATTTACTGAGTTTGAATAACTCAAAATCAATTCAATGCCATTCAAATGAATATCGTGAACGATCGTAGCAATTTATGATAAAAAATTCTACGTATGTAATGAGTTTATGGCTTTGGTACTACATCAGTAGAATTCTGTGTTTTGCGAAACATACAGTTTCGTTTGAAGTGTGACATGTTGATGTCACAATCTTCTTTTCTTTTTTCTTGCTACCGATTACAATAGAAGAAAAAAAGATTGACTCGTCAATTGTAAGTATATGCCATTCTGTTGACAGAAGATCGAACATGCGCATACATATGCATGTCTAGTGGGTGATTTCGAAACAGCGAAAAAATTCATTGGTCAGTTATTGAATGAATCATATTTCTGGGATGAAATGCAAAATTTACCCTCGTTGCTCAATGAAGTTGGACTGATTTGTGAAGAACAGGGTGATTTTGTAACGGTAAATGTATACTATTAAATATTTATGGATATGAAACAAAAACGACAATTAATCTGTAGAAGAGATACGATTTCATCGATTTTAGAACAAGCACCATTTCAAACTATTTCAAAACATATTCATGATATGAATAATGAAAATAATGAAAAATTCTTTGAAAAATGAAGAGAAAAACGATGTACCGAATAGGAAAAAGTCAGCCGATTATTGCCAACAAATCGGTTATATCTATGAACTACAGGAAAATGACAAAGAAGCTCTTAATATGTATCAAAAAAGTTTGAAATTATTTGTACCTGTTGATTTAGAAGTTATGCAAATCTATTCCAGCATGACTCTTCTATATGCTAAACAAAACGATTGGTCAACATCGAATACATACATAGAAGAAAACATTAGAACAGTTATATAGCAAACCTCATAGCGATACATTCATAGAGATCTATGAAAAAATTGGTCTTACATACGAAATTCAAGAACGATACATAGATGCTATTCAAATATACGAGAAAATCTTATCTTTTATTCCGGATGAATACTATTATGATGAGATAGTTCTCGCTCATATCGGTTATGTCTATGAGAAACAACAGAATTACATCAATTCATTGCAAATCTACAAACGATTATTATCTCTTCAATTGGATGTGCTTTATCGTGATCATCCACAATTGGCAGATACGTATGCGTCGATAGCCAACTCATTCTGTGGTCAACATAAATATCAAGAAGCTTATACAAATTTAACGAATGCATTCCATATTGATCTTCTTACAATGAGTACAAATCATTCCTGGGTAAAAAAACGTCAAGGAGAAATCGAGGGTAAATCCATGGGAAACGTACCACATTCACATCAACCTTCTTAGAATCGACTGAAACTTTCAGAGTTTGTAGAGCTCAATGAGCTGATCATTTTGGTAAAAAATTGTTAGAGGTTTGAATATGGATTCAGATTGAAATGAGGAGAATACTATTTTCGAAGTTTCGGGAAAACCTTCATCGAATTGAAGATTTCTGATTTTTGGAAGAACATTTTCTTTTTCATTTTAGGACCAAAAGAGAACATTTTATATATATTCTGATAGCTCGTGCTCAGTTCTATCGAACTATGTATGAACCAAATTGTTCAGATTCTTAAAGTGAAACTTTTCATGGGAGCACAATAATTTTACTGCTATAGTCAAAAATAGGCAGGAAGGTGAGAAAAAACCATAGCCAGAGTCCAACATGAGTAGGAATGTTCCTAGTAGCGAAGAGTTGCAGACTTTCACAATATAAGGTCTTTGTAGCTTTTCAAAAGGACTATCCAATGAACCGTGCTAGAATTTTTGTCATTTAAATTTTTATGATAAAATATTTTTTGGAAAATAAGAGTTGGTGATAAATATAGGACTTATATCAACAGTATCTAACAACATACTAGGTTCCCTCCCCATTGAATCAAATAGTTGCTGATTTGTTCATATATAGGATTGAACTCCTATCAAAACGCTGTCAAATACTGAATTTGCACAAATATTTTTTCTTTTGAATTTACTTTAACACTAAGTTGACCATAATAGAGTGAGTTATCAAATAAATGATCAAAAAAAAGCTGCTTCTTTAGTGGCTTTTTATTTCAAAAACTCGGTGAAAACTTCATGAAGATAGTGTTGAAATGCTTGTTTCAACATCTTCTTGCAATTGGTATAAGACTCAATGGTGTTGACCTAAAAAGTCTAAATGGGTCAAACTGACTTCTAATACACCGTCCGCTTTTGATCATTGAACGGTTCAAACACTAGTTTTGACATTTTACTATTATAAGATGATGTGAAAAACAATATGATATCTTGTAGAATCTCGCATAACTTTTATTCTACTACTTGACATCTATCTGGATTTAAATTTTCCGACTAATCGATTGAGTTTTTCACTAAAAAAGTTACAAAATATGAATTGAAATCTGTCAGAAAACACTAGTAGATAAACATTTTGACTCTCTAATGAGTGAAAATGGAAATCGGCTGAGAAGCCTTATATACCAGAAGATAGAGTGAACGATGCTCTACAAAATCTAGTATACCACGATTCGCCCAAATTCGGAAGAGGTCTTTTATTGGGAGACAAAGTTTTTGTAGCAGTGAAATTATTGTGCTCCCATGAAAAGTTTCACCTTAGGAATCTGAACAATTTGGTTCATACATAGTTCGATAGAACTGAGCACGAGCTATCAGAATATATATAAAATGTTCTCTTTTGGTCCTAAAATGAAAAAGAAAATGTTCTTCCAAAAATCAGAAATCTTCAATTCGATGAAGGTTTTCCCGAAACTTCGAAAATAGTATTCTCCTCATTTCAATCTGAATCCATATTCAAACCTCTAACAACTTTTTACCAAAATGATCAGCTCATTGAGCTCTACAAATTCTGAAAGTTTCAGTCGATTCTGAGAAGGTTGATGTAAATGTGGTACGTTTCCCATGGATTTACCCTATATAATTTGCAGAAAAAATGTCACAAGCGATTTAGATATTTTAAAAAAATATAGGTGCAAGTGAGCAACAAAAATCAATAAGACGTATCAAAGTGGAATAGTTAAGATCTGATTTGTTTCGATTAAACTGATGTTTTTAACAAAATAATCGAGAATAAACACTCGATATTTTTTAATTTTCTGCCAACTTGATATCTTTAACATCAATGGCATCAACAATTTCAGAAAAATGGAAAACATCACTTGTTTGTACTGACTAAAGTAGGTTTTGTCCTCTAAGTGTACCGATAGTCTTATTTTAACAATCAAGTTTTGTATATTGACATCAATCATAGAAGAAAAATAAAAATCAAGACATAAAACGTTCAAAACTCGGCTATTTTGAATGAGTGGTTTTCAAAATTTTTTAATTAAATTGAATGTTTTATAACTGATAGTTAGGGTGTGTGGGTGTAGGTGTGGGTCTATGGAAGATATATACCCGAATTCACATCCACACCCACTCACATTCACACCTACACTACACTCACGCCCCATACCTACACCCGCATCCATACCCCAACCCCATCCACAACCACGCCAACACCAGCACACACACCGCACACACTCACACTAACACCCACACTGACCCACACCCACACTCACACCAACACCCACACTGACCCACACCCACACGCATCTACCCACACCCATCCACACCCGCACCAACTTCTATACTCATTCTCACACTCCCGTAAATGCAACAGACAACTTGTCTCAACCTTCAAACTGAAGAAAAACCGAAGGCATACTTTTACTTGCAACTGTCGTCGTATTCTTCATTATATTGATACTCTGCAGTATCTAGATCTGTCGTTATCGTCGCAAAAAAAGGAAAAAAAAACGTGTGTTCGCTTCTTTTCATTCTCT